TTTATGGATATATCAACAACCAACAACTGAAGGCGGTCGGTGTATTCCAGGACTATATTTCCAATCCAATTTCCGTGAGCCAAGAGGGCCTGTACTCAGCAGTGAGACATTTATAGGCTGTAACTTTAACTTTGACTTTATGTTTAATAGAGAAAACACGGAAAGATGTAAAACACGGGAGACTGCCAAACGTCTCACACCTTAGAAGGTATGCCAGCTGCCTGAATATAATATTAATTTAAACTATTTATTGCTTAAAGTTTGTTATTCTTCTACTTATCGAATGGTAACAATATTTTATTAATATTAACTGAGGCTATTAGAAGAATTAAAAATAAGTAGGTATCTGTAAAATTAGATTTATTAAATTAATGAAGACCTATAAATTAACGATGCTACAGAATATTTAGAGAAGCATTAAACAAGAAGATTGACGAGCGAGGCTCTAATAAAACCCATCTTCATAAAGCCAAACTACACATTGCGAATTATAATAGCACGTAATCTTTTACCTGGATTAAAAAGATTTTTTTTTTATTCAGATACCATTAAACTAATTATACACTATAAATAGCTTATAAAGACAAGAAATTTGTCAGAGCTTGTTGAACCTGACTTTGGCAATTTGAATATCCATAAACGAGATGGTAAAACGAGAATTTAATCGACTATAATAATAATTCGACGCCTACAGTTCAATATGAACCAAAAAGGGCAAGTTGTTTTCGTGAGGACTCCGTTCTTTATCCGAGCTACTGCTTATCCGCCATAAGCTCATGTAAAATCGTTTTATGGATCCTCACAATCTATTGGGCACATGTAAACTTCATTAGAATGCACAAATTGCATCAATGAACTATTGAACATTGTTGTAAAAAACGAATCCAAGAGCTGTCATTGGCGCAGAAGCCATTTTTTAAAGTCCACCATTAATAATGTAATAAAGTAGGAAAAAAAAAGTATTTTTTATGTACAAAACCCAACGTCCAAAACAGATAAGAATGTGAAAAAGAGTTTTAAAAATATTATATTCGTGAAAATAAGAATAAAACATCGCCAACCTACACGGGTAGCGGCGACCGCAGAGTGGTAGGGTTGCCGACTTGTACACACATGAGAATGCCATTTTTTTGTTTTTGTACATTTCAGTATATTTTTTTCAAATGCGTAGAATATTTCCCTCCACCTGTCATCAAGGGTAGGCAGAGACTACAGACTTCCATTTGGATCCTGACACACCTCTCTTGCCTCCTTCCCATCCATACACCTACGCATACATGCTCGTCGGTTGTGCTCCCTTTTGGCCCGTTTTCGCCTGGTCATATATAATTTCAATTTAAAATAATAAAACCATTTATCATTATCGTAATTAATATTCATCCTTAAGATTGCCTACTAAGGCAGAGCGAAGAGGCAAGTACATGAGTTCTAATTTGATCAGTTTGCCTGATGGTAAGTGGATACTGTGACCCATAGACGAACATTCACTACCTTATATCATCCCGTGGCTCTCTGAAGAGGTGACAAAGGGAAACTAAAACAGGTGATGGGCAACAACATTTTCTTGATAAAAACTCAAAATAATTAAAACCTGCAGTTGCCAAGCCGCCTGCCAAGCGAGACAACATGGCAAATATCCCTCCTACGCTTCAATATATGGGCCTATGTTTACAATTTCAGCAGTGACCTTTTGATAGGTTGTAATGAATGTGCGATTTTCTCTGTCATTATTTTCTATATTACTATTTTATACTAATTATATTCGGAGATTAATTGAAGTGTTAATTGTTAAGCACTACTGTCCCTGGACTTCTATAAGAGGCGCGGCCTGATGGAACACGCCAATCGTGCTGAAGGTGTGTTCCAGAGTTAGCGAACGTCTTTTCCGTTTCTCTTACTTTTTATGTGTCATTCCAAGCTCGTGTAAGATAGCCGTACTGCACCCAATCCCTAAAGAAATAGACCTCTCGGACCCGTCCAACAACAGGCCTATCGTAATCTCCTCCTAATTCTTCTCTCCCTCATTGGTATCAATTGAGTGTGTCAAATGCACTCCCTATTTCCTCACTCAATCCGACAAGACCGGAGATAAATCAGGCGCAGGACCTAAGGCTTTAAATGCTTTGTAAGGCACGAGGGTTAGGTTTCGCCCTTGAGACCGCGCTCACAAAACTACCAACTTCCTTTCTCTATGCTGCTGCTACTGATAATTTCATGACAGAAAAATCCTATGGATGGATGGAACCTTGGTCTGACCCGAAATTGGAACCTCGAGTCACATAATCAGCAACCGTGTTAACCACTACACGAATGAGTCAGACAATCAGATATTCATCCAATTAATGAAAACAACAGAAAATCCCAAAGCTTTTTTTAAATGATGCCGTACACAAAATATCCAGACGAGGTAAAGTCCGTGATTTGCACGGAGCAGCGCGGTGGACACTTTCTTAGTGCATAGTCTTTTCAGAAATATTTTCAAAGCTTAAAGTTTATTTAAGACTCTTATGAATGAAAAAATCTATTAAATAACCACTAAACGAATATTTTTGTTGATCACAATTAGGTTACAATATGTACGTTTCAAATAAAGAAAGATACTTATTACTTTATTTTCATCGATTCCATCCTTAAATTGAAGTAAGCAGAAAACAAGAAATAAAAATCCTTTATAAATATTAAACTATAGACGCAGCCCTATGTACGGCGCATGAAGCATATCGCACAGTGCGAACGCATGTCGGCATTCATATTCCGTTCACTCACGAACGATGAGGTTTATATAAAACATATCAAATCAGTGTGCAGATTAAATAAAACAATATAACGTTAATTCGTTCCACTGATAACTTTAAGTTTGAATTAAAATATTCTCACTTATCATTGCATTATTCAATTGCCGCTTGCTGTTTATACAATTACAATAAATGAATAATTAGAGGTTATTTGAACTTCACTTTTTTTTTCTTTTTTTTTCCAACCAGCACTGGAGCAGAAAGAACTTTTTTCTGCTCCATAACACTATAAAAAAGGAAGAGCTTGCTCAACGTTCTATTTTAAACGTTTGAAAGATAGCACCAATCAAACAAAAATCAATCGTCGTATATTAACTTAAAGTTCAATAATCCCTAATTATAATGGCATATCAATAATATGTGTAATAACCTCATTAACTTGCTTCACGATATCACACTAAATTCATATAACTTCAGCGAGAAGATTTACACTTATTTAAGTACTTTACTTTCACTGGTAAAACGTTGTGAAGTTGTTTTTAAAAGTTCTGGAAAAACGTAATGTTGGACCATTAGAACAAAGCAGTTTGCTTGATTCAGTTTAAAAATTTACGTTAACCATTCAAATAAAATAAAATATTTCAAAGACATGTGAAGTTCTCCAACACGTGTTGAAAACTTCTCAGAAATAATAGGGCTGGTGCCCAGCAGTGGGACGTATATGAGCTATAACTTTACTTTTATTCAAATAATATCGTCGAACAATAAAAATTCAAGAATTGATAGTTCATTACTACCAACGTGATAAGCGAGATCACACACAATCCTTTACTATAAATCTGGGATTACAACAGACATAGTTAAGACTGCATCTGATTAACTCTATTTAGTTTCTATTCTAAACGTACGATCAGTACTTACGCAATCAATCTAAGTCTTGAAATATGGTTTAGTTAATGAACATCCGTTTGCTGGTGCAACAGAATCTTTGAAACGGGCATTAAATAACAAAGAATGTCTTGCGAGACGGTTTTCACTCAATCGTAAAGTTTTTTTTTAAATACAAATAAGGGTGACAAATGAGTAGTCAGTCATCCTGGTGATAAGTAAATGCAGTGAGTCGTGAATTGCAGTGAGTGAGTCGTGAAACGAGTGAATTGTATCTATCCTCTATTAAGAGTAAAAATGAGCTTATGTTGTCAATCCAGAGGATAAGATGAAATACCTTGTTACAAGTAAAAAGGGTCACTAGTTCTTGACACTCGCCATAAGTAACACAGCACTGTTTATTGCTATTGCACGGCGGTATTCTGGATAATATTGTGTTCTGTTCAAGTTAATCCGTCGATGCTGCAGTTGTATCGCCATCTTCTGGGAGGTCTCAAGATCTGGAAATTTCCTTAAATCGACTCTTACGACTCATAAACATTTTAATCACTCACCAAAGCGCTTTGCACGTCCGCTACTGAACATAAGCTTCTTCCAAGGAATGCCACACATCCCTACCTGCTACCTGCACCCCTTGACTTCCTACATATATTACCAGGCCGTCACTCCATTTAGTTGGGAGCCGCCCTACATTTCGCTTACGAGGTTTCCGCTCAAAAACATAATACTGATTTACTTTTAGACAATCTATTCCATTGAAAATATATATTAAAAATTAAAATATATATCAATAGCTCCTTTACGGAGGCTTCATAACACTTCACTATCAGATTAGTCATCAAGTTATATATATATATATATATATATATATATATATATATATATACTTGACGACTAATCATCTAATATAATGGCCGTTATATAAATATATATAACGGCCATTATATTAAACCTACCGTAACAACTTACTATTTAACTATTTCTCGCTTAGTACCTTATCTATTTGTATTGTCAAGATAAGATAAGATATTTTTATTTGTGGAAACATGAGTATACATACAAAACATACAAGTTGTTGAGATAAATTAAATACATTAATCATGTTTGGACTTTGTGGCGTACAAATATATAAACAATTGTGTACCTATTAATGTATTCCGCTTCGATATGTATGAAAGCTTGTTTGCTATAATAACATTATATTATATATGGAGGCATTTTCTTAATTTTGAATGAATGAATACAAAATATTTTCAGTATTATATTTGATACATTCTGTTTCTTCCTATTAAATTCAACAGTTACAGACTAAAGTACTTAAAATGATTAGTAGTTAGTTCTTGACTTAAAGTAATGTGTACATAATACATTTTATTACTATTTTTTCCTCCAGTCATTTTTTATATAATCTGATCCTTTTTCGGCTATCATTATGACAGGTGCCATTGTATTACCTCTTACAATATCAGGCATTATACTTGCATCTATTACTCTTAGATTACGTACAAATTTAACTTTTAAACGTTCGTCTACTACGGAACTGGAATCGTCTTTTAGCCCCATCTTATTTGTACCGACTGCATGATATAACGTCCCGGTCAAATGCATTGCAATACATTTCAAAAAATCATCTGATTTTTTATCGAGATTAGTGCAAGCATCTATTTCAAACCAGTGAAGTTTCAAACCAGCCTTTTTAAAAGCGTCTGTTTTTTCCAACTTTATTGCGTGTTTCATACCACGGATAAGTGTATCTAAGTCATCAGAGTTGATTAAATAATTTGCTTTTATTCTAGCCATATTATTAGATGTATTTAATTCGATGACACCTTTTGATTTCGGTCTTAAAAGAGCCACAAACACCATAATTATAAGGTTTTCTTTATTAAGTTCAACGAAAGAGTTATAAAATTGTCTGGAAAGATGATGTTTGCCAAAAATATCTACAAAATTAGATTGATTTGGGTATGCTACTATAAAATGATTCTGTATATCAGGTGTCACTGATTTAGAGTATGTAGTATTAATAAAGGAGATAACCATATGCGGGCTTAAGCTACTAAGAGGCCCCTTTTGTTCTGTAATGTATTGGTAATAAACTTTAAAAATGTTTTCAAGAGAATTAGACTCTTCAACACTTCTTACTTTGTAGAAAATTGGTGCATAAATATGGTCTTGAAGATTTTCGCCAATCGGTAACCCAAATTTTATTTGTTCCTTATCAATATTATTATTACCGTTAGGGCCTAACCCAGATTTTAGTAGAATAACAGGAGAGTTTATTGTTCCGGCGGACAAAATAATTTCTTTGTCTGCAGTAAATGTAGCACTGAGTTTATTCTTCAATATTACTTTAACGCCTTTAGCTGTAAAATTTTCGAATACAATTTTGTCCACGTATACATTTGTTAAAACATGTAAATTATGTCGATCTTTTATAGGTTTTAAGAATGCGCTACTTGTGCTTTGTCTTTGACCATTTTTCACTATTGTAAATGCTTTACCAACACCTATTTGAGCATCTCCGTTAATATCATCTAAAATATTACTCCCTAATTCTGTATTAGCATTTATCAAAATCTGCTCTATGGGATGAATATTTGAGTCATATTCAACATTAAGATAGCCATCAGTGCCATGATATTTCATATCGATATCATTTTTATATCTGTCCTTTAATTCTAACTTTTCACTTTTTTTAAAATATTCAAGAACTGAATCATAACCCCAGTCGGGACTAATAGAAGACCAATCATCATAATCTTGTTTATTACCTCTCACATAAAACATTCCGTTGATACTGCTAGTACCTCCTAATACTTTGCCTCTAGGCCAGTAACATTTTTGATCCTTATAGTTTAGGCAAGCGTTTTCTTGTGAGTCAGTTCGAAAATTCCAGTCTACATCAGTTCCATAGTTGTTCATGTAAAGAGATGGTATCTAAAAATAAATATAAAATTACAATATTAGGTTATTTTTATCTCCTTCTTCTTCTTCTTAATCAGCTACCTTTCCCGCTGTTATCTCTTACGACTGTCCCAAAAACGAAAAGGACGATGGAATTTTCTTACGACACTTTACTACTTTATTTACTTTAATAATAACTTTGTCAAAATATTAATGTAAATACCAGGAGTAATAAGCCTTAGACCACTTTTACTTTCCATAAATAATTTTATCTTTACAATTATCATTATCATCATCATCATCATCACAAGTTCACTGTTAAATAGATACTACATCCACTACTGAAGATTGCCACAAAGTACAGTCCTCAGCCACCTGCATCATCATGATTACGCAAGCATGTAGTAATATTAAATAACGGGGGTGAATACAACATTTAAAATTGTAATTATGATAAAACCACGCACTAGCTTGATGAAAACCTTGATTATAACTAATTTTACGGATTTTATGACGGGACGTTTTTATTTTTTACTTATTATGACGAAGTGCTGCAAGGCACCTATGACCACGGGAGGACTAAGTGGTTTGACGGCCTGATTTTATTGTTAACCTGGGCTTTCATCAGGTTGATTTAATTATTTTGATCCGATCCACGTACAATAAGCTTTATAATAATTATGTCTTGCGGTGGTGCTTATACTCAAGCACGATATTACTAAAAACAGGATACTTTAATGTATAGTAACCCACGAATATATATGAATGTTAACTGTAGTTTTAAGTAAAGTAAAGTTACAGCCTATATACATCCCACTGCTGGGCACTTGCCTCATCTCGTTTCTGAGATGGTTTTAGGGCAAGAATGTGTCCACCGCACTGCCCCAATGCGTGTTGGCGAACTTCAAATTTTTTTTCTTATTTCTTAGACATGCAGGTTTCCTCACGATGGTTTCCGCACCACCGCTGAGCAAGTGTTAAATCAGCACTTAAAATTGCAAGTAACAATTTCATTGAAGTCGGTGGGCATCGAACCCAGGTTGCTCACGTAGTGTGAAATTTACAGCGCACGCAAACGAACCATCTAAACTACCAGTTGTTAGGAGTATCCCAATTGAAGTCCGAGACAAGATAAGCACATCTCTTCTCATGGACACCTTCCTACATTAAAATCCTAAGTAACTGGTAGTTCCTATTCACCGTGTCTAATCAAATTAGATGTTGACATCCACCCTCTCCACTTATTTGCTTTGTTTAATATTTTTATAGCCTCGCGAATTATAATATAACGCCCTCCAGACCAAATTTTGGTCATCTACACAGAATTATAGCTTACGATTGTGGTGCAAGCACAAGTGCATTCTATATTCCCTCACTCTCATAGTCCGTTGAGATGTCAATCCAAAATGAGCGGAGAGAGCTTTGTGTGCTTTCCGAGGCACAGAGTGAAACACGGCCAACTTTCTGAGTCCGGGTTGCTACTGAGATTTTTTGACATATCCTGGGTTTGAATTTGAGACTAAATGATCAGCATTTTCTTTTACGACCACTGGATTAACGAGGTAGTCAAAATGTTTAATAATGAAAAATGAAAAATAAATGTTTTCGAACGCCAGATTCGTATCGGCAATGGAACTACGACTTGATAAAAGGTGCAGAGACTCGATAAATATAGTTGAGTCTAGGCTTGCTTAGATACCTAAGCGTATATTCATCTATATATGTAATATCCGATTTAAATGTATTTGCACTTACTTCTGTTCCTAAAGTTGGGTTACCACCTGCTTCAAGTAAAAGTATTGACCAATTTGATTCCTCTGATAGCCGATTAGCAACAACGGCACCTGCTGTTCCTGCTCCCACTATAATAAAGTCATAAGTGGTATCTGGAAAACAAATACAAAATCATATCCGATTTCATCTATTCAATCTAATAATTGTTTTTTTTTTTTTTTTTTTTTTTAAATTTTATTCATTTTACAAATAGAATCATTAAATTTTTAATGCTAATAAAGTGCAGTACACCACATTTTGAATAGCATCCTGTGAAAGTTTACTCGTTTTTACTGGATTGTTTACGTCTCTTTCAAATGGGCGGATAATGAATGGGAAAAGCGGTATTTCAGAAAGTTTTGTTAAAAACAAAAGCTTGTTCCTTCAAACTTTTACCGCGTCGTGATTTTATGTCTGGACGTAATTTTGGAAAGTAGAAAAAATTGAAATTGATGAATTTCAATTTTTTTACACAATAGATATGTCGTATCTATTTTTTTAATATAAACATTTCATCTATGTCCTCCGGAATCACATATCTCCTACATAAGGCTGTATGATTCGTAGAAATATGAGAAATACAAACAAAAACATTCTACCCTACATGTATATCAAAGGGTTTAAAACACAAAACTTCTTACTAGCCATCTTCATAATATCTGATGGAGTAGGTTCTGGAAACAATGTTGGGACTATTAGACATTGTGCTGCTAAAAACGCTTGCAATGCATTAAACAATAACGGACCAGCTCCAGCGTACTCCTGTATTACTGTCGATACAAAATGTGGATCACACGACCATGACATCTTTCAATTCAATTATCTGAAATTAAAAAAGATAAAAAGAATTTTTCGATTTTTATTCTTTTTTATATAATTTATGAGGAAATGCAAACAAACTGATAACAATTACAAAACATCATAGAATAGTACACTATCTCACAAATTCAAATTCTGAGGTAAAAGTGTGACGATTACAACATAAGATAAATAAGTAAAATGTTGGTAAATAAATAAAAGTAATTTTTTTATACAAAACGTATCATACAAATGAATTTTAATCTTACGTTATATATGAACCAATAAAATGTAGACCAATAAAAAGAGATTTTGTGGATTGAGCCTATATAATATATTCAAAAAATACCTAGATTTACAGTTACCAACTTACACGACTCTAATCTTGGAGAATTTTGATAACGAAGGCCATATTTTATATTAATTGCCCTATAATTTAAAATAAAGTATTGAAGTATGAAAAAAAAGTATGAAAAAAAAGTAAATAAAGTATGAAAAAAAAAACACCAAAAGAAATATACTTACGAAACTAACTGATAAACATTTAATTACAATATATTAATATTTACGTACAGATACATCCACGTTCGGTTAACAAATGATAAAGAGGGCATTAATACTCTAACAATAATAACAAATATGCATACATACAAGTACATCACCGCCGCGTGAGCAGGACGATATCTTCTCCGCTCTTTATAGAAAGTATGTGTGTCAGTTACAAAGACACTTTAGTCTTTATGCTTAGCTCTATTTTCCTTTTCTATGTCCTAACCTATCCTAGCCTATATATAGTATCATATTATGTTTGTGTACACTATTCTGTCAACAAATCTGCCGAGAGTGGTGAATGTATTTTTTGTGTAATCTACGTACGTGGTAAAGCCACGCTTAAGCTGTTTTAGGCTGTAATAAATTTATATAAACCAAAAAAATATTTCCTTTTGGTTTATTTAAATTTAATGTATATTTTAAGGCCTAAGTAAGACTGAAGGCCTTATTCGTAACAGTGACAATTTTCATGTAACTGAAGATGTTTAACAAAAGCCCATACAGTCTTGCCTTAAAGACATTCATATCATAATAATCCTCCAGAACGAATTTCTATCACGGCGGCCTGCGTCAACGGAGACTAGCCATCGGCGCAGGACAGGATTATAGTGCCCAAGTGTATGCGCAATATAGGTGCATTCTCTATTCTCTCACTCTCATAATCCGATGGGACGGTAAAAAGACACGACCGGAGAGAGATCAGTCGCACGACCAACGGCTTTACGTCTTTCCCGAGACACGGGGGTGAAACAACGCCAAAATCCAGACTCCGGGCAGCTACTAAGGATTTCTTGACAGAAAAACTTAATAATTGATTTTTGTCCCAACCCGAGATTTGTACCCAGTACCTCATGATCATTAGTCGCACTACTACAACTACTAGATCAACGATGCAGTCAAGTTTAAAGCTGTAGCAAGAATGGGTTGGCTCGACCGCCGTAGGACCACCTTCTTTTAGAATACGAGAATGAAAGAACAGAATAATGCTGCTGTGTTTTATATAGTGAGTGTAAAGTACCGAAGATACATTTAATGAGACATCCCATCTTGGTCCTCGGGGGTGACAACACATCTTTATTTTGATTCTTGATCGAGGATAGATGTAAGTAACTATAAGCCGCAGTATTAACATACTATCAGGCCTTTATTCTATATTTAAAAAAAATATACATACTTTCTTTTTTTATGATACTCAGTGGACTACTTTGTAGGATTAATTCGGTTGTCCGAACGAATCCTAGCAAAAGAGCATTGTCACTGCCAAGGACTACGATGATATGCCTCACAGCCTGTTATCTCGGTCCCTTAATCCTGAATAAGCGCAAATTTTTCGGGATATATCCTGTAAATCTCCGAGAGGCTACTTTGGGCCTGTGCTCGAGGCTGGTAAGATAGGTTATAACCATATTGATGTCACCAATAAGCTTGTTAGCACGCCTTTCTATTGATTCCAAAGTCGCTTGGTGACATTTTGCAGTACCAGCCCATTTATGGTAGCAATATTCCATGCGTGACTTGCATTTGCACTTTACATAATGTACGCGACTGTCCCGGCGTGAAATGTTGCCACACCTTTGGAGGGGGCCAGACATCCTTGCAACTGCATTTTACCTGGACAATGAACCGTCTAAAGTTCAAGTTCAAAGAAACCTCAAACCCCAGCAACTGAAGGCGCCAGAAGGTATAGGAAGGTATAGTATAGGATATAGTAAATCTTGTATTGTGCTGTTGATTTATTTCCAAAATAAACAGAAAAATGCCTAATTGTTCACTTTTTTTAAATAAAATGAACGATGGTGATGATTGTAAATATGAGTATAAGGAATGATAATTTTACTATCTTTGACTGCTCTGTTAATTATTTTAATCAATTGTATTTCATAAATTAGAAACCACGTAGCGGGTTACTTTAAAATGCAGTTTTTATCAAATATTAATGATCCGCCCCCTTCCATTCTCTGTTGTTGTGTTGTTGTTGTGTTTTTGTATATTTGAGTGGTTCCTTGGATAAAAACTCAACTGGACACGGTAGGCCGTGTAGGTAGCCGTTTTCGAGTTTTAGGGAGACTAACGGACATCAATTGATTTCTATATATAAGAAGAAAAAAATATATATATATATATATATATATATATGTTCTCCAGACCGACTTTCGGCTACGGCGGCCCGCCTCAACGGAGGCTAGCCATCCATCGGCGCAGGACAGGATTATAGTGCCCAAGTGTATGCGCAAGCACAGGTGCACTCTTTATTCCCTCACTCTCGTAATCCGATGGGACAGTAAACCGACACGACCGGGAGAGAGATCAGGCGCAGGACCAACGGCTTTACGTGCTTTCCGAGGCACGGGGGTGAGACACCGCCAACTTCCTGACTCCGGGCAGCTCCTGAGAATTTCTTGACGAAAAACTCAATAATTGATTTTGTTGTCACGACGCAGGATTCGAAGCCAGGGCATCATATCTTAACAGGTCGTCACTCCATCTAGTGTCGGGTCGTCCTACACTACGCCTACCAGTGCAAGGCTGCCACTCGAGAACCTTTCTTCCCCATCGGTTATCGGTTGTATATATATATATATATATATATATATATATAGGCCTGCTGAAAGAAATTCATTATGGAATAAGCAGTGCCTTTGTACATAATTACGTTTTTATCATTTTCCTATTTCCTCCTCATTTCGGTTTGTGCAGTTACTATGGTGTACTAATTTGTAAAGCAGACATAAAGTATAGTTAAGGACAAAGAGGCATTTCCACTTCGTTGGAATCTACAGCTCATTTGTAGTAATTTTTTAATTGTCTGCAAGTTTTGGTACAGCCACGCCGCAGCTCTATATACGAATTGGTCGACTCAAATCGGGGAGAAACATTCACCGAACACCGAACGTTGAAAAGTAACAAAATAATGCTTTGTTTCGTATGGTAAGTTTCATTTTACGTGGTAGAGCAATTTTGCAGCTATATTACTAGTAAAATTAGACTAAGAAGGACCACGCTCTCACAGAGTGCCAGCGTAAAATAGCAGCTTAATGCTGCTGTGTTTCGTATGGCGAGTGTGGAGTACCGATGGCCATTTTTACTGGAAACGAAGCATTCCCCCCTATTCCTCACGGGTGGAAACGCATCTGTATTTTAAATTGTAATCAAGGATAAATGTAGATGTCACAGCAACAGCAACCACTTACTATTAGCTGAACTGTGTGCTCGTTTGTTACCCTTATCGCATATAGAAAATGGTGAGAGGTAACAACCAGGGAGTCTTTTTACTGTAACCAGACACTCCACCGTAGTCGTCAGGGATAAGAATACATATGAATTTTGTATATTAATCGATTATAAATGCAGGAGCCTATGTGCCACAGTATCCATTTACCATACTTACCTACTTTACATCATCATCTGCATACTCCTGAATATAGACCTCTCCCAAAGAATGCTACAAAGCAAGGTCCTGAGTCATCTGCATCTATCGACTTCCTGCATATCTTACCAGGTCGTCACTCCATTTAGTGAGGAACGCCCTACACTTTACCTGCCGGTACGAGGCTGCCACTCGAAAACCTTTCTTCCCCATCGGTTGTCGGTTCTTCGAGCCGGCCCATTGTCATACTTACTTTACATACTGTGGTTCATCTTGTACAATCAATGTTGTGTGCTCAATATTCTGTTTTGACTATTATAAAAAGACATTCTTATTCTATAATAGTTAATTACAAACATAAACTTTCAAACCTGACACTAACAGGGGCAGGTAAAGACTACCGACTTTCATTTTGCACGATCATGACACACCTATTCCGCTTCTTTCTAATTTATATACCTACACATACACCTCGTCGGTTAAGGTTACCCATAATTGGAAAATTAATTTTTTTATTGTAAAAATACTGTAGGTACAAAACGTACTTCAAGAATGTTGTTTATGAACATTGCTATAAATTATAAGTTTTGAAGTGTCTACTTGTACTTTCAGATAAGCTATCATGGAATATTATTTTCACGGTAAATGACGCATTAGAAAGTTATCGTATACTTCTATTATATATATATATATATATATATATATATATATATATATATATGTGTGTGTGTGTGTGTGTATGTATATATATAAGTGGCAATGGTCCGCCATATAGCACGAAGAACCGACAGCAGATGGGAAAGAAAGGTTCTCAAGTGGCAATCTGATGGAATAGATTGTCTAAAAGAAAATCAGTATTATAATTTTGAGTGGATACCTCATTTGCGAAATATAAAGCAGCCCCCCGCTGATGGAGTAACGACCTGGTAACATATGCAGGAAGAAGACTGTTGCTCAGTATTGCGCTTTGTGGAATTTATTACAGGAGGGCTATGTTCAGCAGTGGACTTGTGATGGGATGTAACTAAGAAGATGGTGATGATGACAATGATGATATGTTTAACGGTCTATAACTGTATTTTGTACATCA